TCATCTTTCCTGATTGTAAGGCAAGCAGTCCTGGGAAGTGTTTCTAGCCCATGAACCCCTCCCGGTGTTGCCAATTGCTATTTGGCCCAGAGCCCGTGTCTGGGCTTCTGTGATGCACCTTCTGCCACTTGGAAACCATATCCAGGCCACCCCTGCCCTCCCGGCCGCCCCCACTCTCCAGGCACCATCTGGCCCCAGTATGGACACAACTCCTTTAATTATCATTTTTTAAAATATATTTTTATTGATTTCAGAGAGGAAGAGAAAGAGAAGCATCGATGATGAGAGGGAATCGATTGGCTACCTCCTGCACGATCGAGCCTGCAACCCGGGCATGTGCCCTGACCGAGAATCAAACCGTGACCTCCTGGTTCATAGGTGGATGCTCAACCACTGAGCCACGCCGGCTGGGCCTCCTTTAATTATTTTTGACCAAAAAAAAAAAAAAATTACCACAAGTGAGACTAATATGAGGGAATTAGCAATGTACGGAAAACAATTTAAAATCGGGTAATGCACCCTAGCCAGTTTGGCTCAGTGGATAGAGGATCAACCTGTGGACTGAATAGTCCTGGGTTCAATGCCGGTCAAGGGCGCATGCCCAGGTTGCGGACTCAGTCCCCAGTATGGACCATGCAGGAGGCAGCTGATCAATGATTCTCTCTCATCATTGATGTTTCTATTTCTCTTTCCCTCTCCCTTCCTTTCTGAAATCAATAAAAATTGAGTAATGCATTCATTCATGTCCTTAGAACCAGCCGCACCATCCACAACTAGTATTTTCCTCTCCTTAGGCCCAGCCTGCAGCTCCAACCAGATACCTGCTCCTCCGGACGGTGTGCCCCAAGGGCTGCTCCCCACTATGAATTCTGTGGCTCCAATTCTCCCACTCCGACTCCCAGAAGACTAATGTGGTGATTATCTTTGCCTTCTTACTCTGCCCACGGCTCTGCTTTGGATCTGACCTACACAGTATTTCTTCTAGCTCTGATAGCGCATTTAGCTCCCAGGTTAAAGCCCAGACCCTCCCTCTGGATGTGATGAGTGCACCAGCCTGGAAACAAGCCATCCCTAACCATGGACCCGAATGGGAACAAATGTTTGTGCAGAACTCATCATGCTGACTACCAGTCAGTTTGAATGTTTTCCTATTATAAGCAATACAATGAATATCCTAAAAGCTAAATCTCTACCCCTTCAAATGTTTGCTGATCCAAAGAGAGTACATTTAATCACTCTTTCAGTCTTGAACTATCTCTAAGTCTGAAAATACAATAAGGAGCATAAACACACTCCCCAGCCTCACAACCCTGCTATCTTGCAGGAAGAGACAAATAAGGAAATAAACTTAAACTCCAAAAATGTTAAATGCAAACAGTAGTGCGAGGGGGGGGGGGGGCTTCCCTAAGGGACTGGCCATGAGCTGAGGGCTGATAAATGACTAAGTAAGTGTGAAGGAGTTCCAAGCAAAAAGCACAGCTACAGTGTGAAGTCCTGGGGCTGGAAGGAGTGCTGGGGCCGGGAGACCAGCCTCGCTGCAACAGGTAGGTTAAGGGGAGTTCAGACAGAAAGGGGGCAAGGGCCCTGCCTGATCTTGACTCTAGGAACAATGGATGACACTGAATGACTCTGCAATTTTAAAACCTGATACCCTGATACGTCCTGGATTACTTGCTGGTGAAGCTATAGGCCCCGTAGCTTCCCCAGCACTATTACCTTACAATGTTTTAACTTGTAAACATTACTTTTTTCCTGGGGTTATTGCCCATGCTGATATCTGTTATGTACTTAGTGTCTGTGATGCCCCCACATCTAACCCCCAATGTGACAGTATTAGGAGGTGAGGTCTTTGGGAGGTGAGGCAGGAGGTGGAGCCCTCATGAATACGATAGTGCCCTCATGAGAGACAGGAAAGACCTTGCTTCAGCTCTGTGCAAGCCAGGAAGAGGACCTTCACCAAACACAGAATCTGTCCGCACCTTGATCTTGGACTTCCCAGCCTCAAGAATTACTATCCTATCCTATTTAATAAAAGGCTAATATGCAAATTGACCAAACAATGGAACAACTGGTCTCTATGATGCGCAGTGACCACCAGGGGGCAGGCACTCAATGCAGGAGCTGCCCCCTGGCGGTCAGTGTGCTTCCACAGTGGAGAGTGCCACTCAGCCAGAAGCCAGGCTTATGGCTGGCGGTGTTGAGAGCCTCTCCCGCCTCCACAGCAGCACTAAGGATGTCGGACTGAAGGCTTAGGCCTGCTCCCGGTGGCCTAACCCTTCAGTTGGACATCCCCCAAGGGCTCCTAGACTGCGAGAGGGCACAGGCCGGGCTGAGAGACCCTCCCCTGAGTGCACAATTTTGTGCACCAGGCCTCCAATGTTTAAGTCGCCCAGTCTATGATAAATTGTTACAGCAGCCTAAACTGCCTAAGAAAGTATGCTTGTCCATTTCTTACCAGGGTACTATCCTTTTTAAAAAAAGTTTTTTCTTACTGAATGACCTATTTTTTAACTTAATGAATTATCTATTACCTTTTCTTTAATCTTCTTTTCCTAATTGTTTGGCTTTTAATTATGTCAAAACATTACATACATAGCAACCTTTGTTTTTATGGATAAAGTTATTTTCTCACCCCAATATTATATAGGTATCATCTATATTTCCTATTTATATTTTTACTAGAGGCCCAGTGCACAAAAATTTGTGCACTCGGGGGGAGGGGGGGGGTCCCTCAGCCCGGCCTGTGCCCTCTCCCAGTCTGGGACCCCTCGGGAGATAATGACCTGCTGGCTTAGGCCTGCTCCCGGGTGGCAGAGGGCAGGCCCAATCCCTAGGTGCAGCCCCTGGTTGGGCTCAGAGCAGGGCCGATTGGGGAGTTGGGGCGCCGCCCGTCATGCACAGAGCAGGGTGGATCGGGAGGTTGCGATGCCACCCTCAGTCACGCTCAGGGTAGGGCTGATTGGGGGGTTGGGGCACTGCCCCGTCACACTCAAGCCAGGGTCGATGGGGAGGTTGCGGCGCCACCCTGTCACGCACAGAGCAGGGCCAATCAAGGGGGTTGGGGCTCCGTACCCTGTCACGCACAGAGCAGGGTCGATCAGGGGGTTGGGGAGCTCCCCCCGTCACGCACAGAGCAGGGTCGATCAGGGGGTTGGGGAGCTCCCCCCGTCACGCACAGAGCAGGGCCCATCAGGGGGTTGGGGAGCTCCCCCTGACACGCACAGAGCAGGGCCGATCGGGGGTTGGGGAGCTCCCCCATCACTCACAGAGTAGGGCCGATAGGGAAATTGGGCACCGCCCCGTCACACACAGAGCCGGGCGGATCAGGGGGTTGGGGTGCCGTACCCTGTCACACTCAGGGCAGGGCGGATGGGGAGGTTATGGCTCTACCCCGTCACACCCAGAGCAGGGCCTGTGGGGGGCGGTTGGGGCGTCGCCCTCTAGCATCCACAGAGCAGGGCCGATCATGGGGTTGGGGCGCCGCCACTGTCACACTCAGGGCAGGGCCGATGGGGAGGTTATGGCTCTACCCCGTCACACACAGAGCAGGGCCCGTGGGGGGGGGGGGAGGGTTGGGGCGCCACACCCTGGCACCACACCCTGTCACATACAGAGCCGCAGGGCAATCAGGGGGTTGGGGAGCTCCCCCCTATCAGGCACAGAGCAGGGCTGATCAGGGGGTTGGGGAGCCTTCCCTTGTCACAAACAGAGCAGGGCAGATAGGGAGGTTGTGGCCCCGCCCCCTGTCACACACAGAGCCGCAGGGCGATCAGGGGGTTTGGGCGCTGCCCCGTCATGCTGATCCCGGTGCCAGGAGGCCTCGCGGCTCCGCTGATCCCGGTGCTGGGAGGCATATTACCCTTTTACTATATAGGATAGAGGCCTGGTGCACGGGTGGGGGCCGGCTGGTTTGCCCTGAAGGGTGTCCTGGATCAGGGTGGGGGTCCCCACTGGGGTGCCTGGCCAGCCTGGGTGAGGGGATGATGGCTGTTTGCAGCTGGTCACACACCCTTCAGGGTGGGGGTCCCCACTGGGGTGCCTGGCCAGTCTGGGTGAGGGGCTGAGGGCTGTTTTCAGGCTGGCGGGTGATGTAAGCTCCCAACCGCTCCTTTTTTTCTTTTTTTCTTTATTCTGGGCCAGTTTTAGCTCTGGCTCCAGCTCTGAGGCCTCTGCTGCTGAAAGCAGGTATCTGGTTTGTTTCGGTTCTATAATCGAAACAATGTATAACTCCAGCTCTGAGATCCCGGCTCGCTGAAAGCAGGTTTCTGGGGTTTTGTTTAGCTTCTATATTTGTTACAATGTTTCAAACTGCAGGCTCAGAGGCCGGCAAGGCAGGCGGGGAACGTTGGTTTCCTCCGTCACTGAAGCAAGCAAGCCTGTTAGTTTCAAGCTGCCTGGCTGCCGGCCGCCATCTTGGCTGGCAGTTAATTTGCATATCGCCCTGATTAGCCAATGGGAAGGATAGCGGTTGTATGCTAATTACCATGTTTCTCTTTTATTAGATAGGATGGTTCAGCTGCTCATATTCAATCGTGATGTCTTGATTGACATATATGAACAGAAACCTAATTTTACTTTTCAAAAAGTAAACCAGTTATCCCTTGAAATGTCACCATTATCATTATGAGTAAACAACCTAGAGAATAATTCATAGATGCTTCTTAACCTTCCATTTTGTTCTACCATTAACTGTGTAATACATTTCCTGAATAAGTTTGCCCATGGAAAGTCCTCCTATCCTCATTTGTTCAATTTTAATTAGCTTCCCGTAAGAAACTTACTCCTTTCATCTGAAATACTGAATGGGCTCACACAGGGTTTTGTTTTGTTTTTTTTCAGAGCTATCTGAGAACTAGATATCCATCTGAAATGGAACAGGCAAAAATGTCCTTGAAGACTTTAGCAACCCTTCCCAACAACTACTTACGTTTATATCAAGTTTTGTATCTACTGTGTACATTACTGAAGAGTTTAAACAAATATCCCCTAAGACAGTTTAACATAGTTGACCTTTTATTTTAAAAAATTACAGGGAATGATTTCCAGCATATCTTATTTTATAAAAGTACTGCTTATATCAAACATTTTTTATCACTATTAACTCCATTGAAGAGCTGCCTTTTTTTTTTTAAGGTACTAATTCCAATTGATGGGACACTTACCCTTAAAATAGAAAAGTTTCCATTATTTATTCAAATGTCAAAATTAAGATCATTGAGAAGTTTATTGCTTTATGGCTGGGCAAGATGCTACTAGCACATTTTAGGTAAATAATAATCTTTTTAGAAACTATGAGGTCATTCTGTTTAAAACTTTTAGGGTAACTCACAGAAAATAGATATTTATTCAAATTATACACTGGGGCTGGGCTATTTTAACACTTGTATGTGAAGCAGCTCTTTAAAGAAATAAGATGCACATAGAGGCCTGTCTGATTTAATATACATAATTAAAATTAATAAAACCTGGAAGATCAATGTTGTTGCACTATGTTCTGTTAGGATTTCTTTTTTTAATCACACATTTAGTAGTTCATTTGTGCTTAAACTATTCATATGCATGAGAAGCTTAAAGAAAAAAACACCTCTGTACATGATGATGAAAAGGAAGTAATAAATTTTTTTGAAATTGCACTGTTATTTAAGTCACGTTCCTAAAGCCAGACCTTCCTTTGCAGCTGGCAGAGTTTTCAGATCTAATTGGCGACCTGGGGAGGCCCCTCTGGTATGAGTGAAGTGAAGAAGCTGGTGATGAAAGCCCAAGCGGACGCCATGAGTCCAGGCCTGTGGAGTGCACTGCCGTCTTCACCCGCCTCTTCTCCATGCTCATCTTCAAGCCCATCATCCATGAGACGCTCCTTTCAAACAAAACAAGAAATGTACTCCTAAGTGAGTAAGCAGCTAGCACGCACGCGTGCCAAAAAGGAGAGTTAAGTACTTCCCTAGAGAAGGAAGGAACGTGAGAGTAAGAAAATGGTACAGAGCTGGTCATTAGAAATCTTTGTTAAATCCAAAACTGATAAATTCCTTGGTGTTTGAGTTCAAAGGGATAACTGCCAATTTAATACAATAAATTCTCACCATGTGCATAATTTTCTTTCTAGGCTATTTTAAGGAAGAAAAATATTAGTTCTTCCCACTTAATTCTAATATGACTAAGTTCTTCCAGATGAAACCACACAGCTTATATGTTAACTTTTCTTCATGTGCTATTCCTCGAATACTTATGGAACACCCAAGACTGTTTTATCATGTTGCCTCATACAACGCTGAGGACAGATCCACACTGAAAACATACAAAACCTCATTAGCATACCATTTCTTCAAGTTCTAGGTTGTCTGCATTCTGCCCATGATTAACTTCAGCATTATTGTTGGGAGCCTGCTGCTGACCTCCTTCTTGCCTAAAAGGAAACCATCCAGCTTGGTGTCTGTTTGGTAAAATAAAGAAAAAGAAAATAAGTCACAACTGTTTTTCTTTATAAAACTATGAAGCATTAGTGTCCTACAAGAGAAAAATGATTAGAACTATATTACATGAAAGGACCATATTGCCTACTTTAGGCTGAGAACTACCCCTCTCAAAGCAATAACAGCAAAACAGAAACCAATTTAAGGCAAAAAGTCTATCATGGGCTTAATTGCGTTTATGCTAGATATTAAGACATGTCTGGAGTTATAAAACCTTTTTGTTATTTTTTAAAATGAAATTCAACTAGATAATTTGCTTGCCTCTTGTGGCAAGGCAAAGTTAGTCTACTTAGGAAGAAAAAAATCTGACCTGTACCTAAAGGACTTACTATTAGTAACTATAATTAAAAAGAACATACTTGTACAAGAATGAATCATATACTTCCACCAGTTCTAAATATTGTTAATAGCTGAATTAATAGTTTTTATAATTGACAATAAAGGAAAAATTTGCTTCTAGACAATTCTGATAAATGTTCTCACTCAACATAACCTGGTCTGCTTCTGATGCCAGACCTACGAAACCCAACATTCTTATTTCCTCATCTGACATTCACGAAAGACGACCATATGCCAGATTCTGTGCTGACCAGTTTGAAAAAGTCATTAAAAGGAACCACAGAAAGGTAATGAACATCACTCACAAATAAACCAGTAGCATGGCTCCCATGACCATGACAAAGCGACTGAAAGAGGAATAGAAGTACACGATGCTGAGGAGGATGGCGGCTCGTGAGAACGTATACATCCAGTCTAGCCAGTCTCGATTGAAGTCTTCTTCGTTTAGCACCGGGCCTCCCTGGGCATTCATCTGAACATTCTCATTCATGGGTCGATTTTCTCGGGCCACTAAGTTGGGAGCTGGTGGAGGTTCTTCTCCAGGAAGACGTGCCAAATTTAGAGGCTGTGAAGGCGCAGGCTGGGCAGGGGTGGCATCTGATGTGGCCTGAGCTGAAACTGCAGCTTGACTGGAAGAGTCACCAAAGTAAACATTAAAAAGGGAAGAACTTGATCACACTATGTATTTTTTCAAAGCGTCCTGGATAAGCCATATGTGTTTTTCATAAACCTGATATGGACTATCACTACCCCTGCCCCCCATTTTTTAGGTAAGCACAAATTTCAGTGGAAAGTGGGACCAAGATTGTGGCAGGAGTAGCTCAGGGAAGGAGGCTCTCAGCCTGGTTTGGGGGGATGGAGGGGAGATAAGAACAGCCACATGAATCACTCTCTTCTCCTTTGCACTAAATACTTTATAAGGTAACAACCAAATCTCTTTCCAATCTCTTCACTAATGGCCCCTTTTGTCACTCTACATAGTACCCACCCCCTCCCCCTGAGACCCAGGTTTTGAAGGATTTGTCTAAAAAATGTACATTAGTCATGACCCTGTGTCCAGTCAGTGATAAATGATTTGTATTAGCATTTTAAGATATTAACCCTTCAACCCCAATCCTGACTTCTGGGAACTCCATCTGGGGACCACTGATAGAGGTCCTTTATTAACTTGCAAAGAATTGTGGTTCTAAAGTTTGCTTATAAATTAATTGCTGGAAAATCAGGAAAATTTTTCTATAATATGCTCCTAGTAAAATAATATATATAGTATTTAAATTATCCAGCCTAGGGGGAAAGTTATAGAAGATGGTCATGAATTGATAAATGCTGAAATTGGGTGATGGAACACAGTGTTCATTTTATATTCTATCTTTCTATATGTTGAAATTCTTCTACAATCAAAAGTTTAAAAATCAAGATAGCAAAATACAAAATAGAAGTTTCCTAGGCTACAAAAGCCTATTTAAGCCTGTATTCTAAGATCTTGCATCTATACAGGTTTTTGGTTCCAAAACACTTACTACACCTCATATTGATTCAGAAGTTGAGCATCTTTTCATATGTCTACTGGCCATCTATATGTCCTCTTTGAAGAAGTGTCTATTCAGGTCCTTTGCCCATTTTTTAATTTGTTTGGGTTTTTTGGTGTTGAGTTTTATAAGTTCTTTATAAATTTTGGGTATTAACACTTTGTCAAATGTACCAGCAAATACGTTCTCCCATTCAGTGGGCTATCTTTTCAATTTGTTGATGGTTTCCTTTGCTGTGCAAAAACTTTTTATTGTGATGTAATCCCATTTGTTTATTTTTTATTTTGTTTCCCTTGCCCAAGGAGATACATCAGAAAAATATATTATTATGAGACACTCAGTGAAAGGATTGTGGAGAACCAAGATGGCGGCATAGGTTAACGCCGGAGTTTGCTGCTTTGAACAACTACTTCAAAAGTGAAACCAAAAAACGGAAGGGACATCACCCAGAACCACAGGAACGCTGGCTGAGTGGAAGTCCTACAACTAGGAGGAAAGAGAAACGCATACGGACACTCAGAGGAGGCGCAGTGCTGAAGTCAGATTCTGAGGTGCGGAGTGCGCGGAGCGGGCTGGCGGCAGAGGGCGCGGTTGGCGTTTTCAATCGGGAGGGAGTCGCAGACTCTGAGCTCCAGATACGGGCGAGTCTTTAGGGACCCAGACTCAAACGGGAGAAGCGGGACTGTCTGGCTTCGGTCAGAGCGAGTGCAGCTTTCTCTCTGAGCTTTGCAGCGGGTGCTGGGACTCAGAGAGGCAGAGCCCCTGGGGACAGGACTGAGAGCCGCCATAACTGCTCTCTCCGGCCCACCCTGTTGATCCTGTGCGACCCGCCCCGCCCAAGCCCTGCACACAGGCATTTGCCGGATAGCCTCAGGCAAACGCCAGATTAGCACCTCCCTAGAGGACAGAAGTTCTCTCACTGCTGACACAGCTGATTCTCATAGCCACTTGGCCTGGAGGTCAAACCCTCCCTGGAATTAGCTACAACAATCAAGATTTAACTATAAGACTGCGAACAAAGACCACTAGGGGGTGCACCAAGGAAGCATAACAAAATGCGGAGACAAAGAAACAGGACAAGATTGTCAATGGAAGATATAGAGTTCAGAACCACACTTTTAAGGTCTCTCAAGAACTGTTTAGAAGCCGCCGATAAACTTAATGAGATCTACAAGAAAACTAATAAGACCCTCGATCTTATATTGGGGAACCAACTAGAAATTAAGCATACACGGACTGAAATAACGAATATTATACAGACTCCCGACAGCAGACCAGAGGAGCGCAAGAATCAAGTCAATGATTTGAAATGCGAGGAAGCAAAAAACACCCAACCGGAAAAGCAAAATGAAAAAAGAATCCAAAAATGCGAGGATAGTGTAAGGAGCCTCTGGGACAGCTTCAAGCGTACCAACATCAGAATTATAGGGGTGCCAGAAGATGAGAGAGAGCAAGATATTGAAAACCTATTTGAAGAAATAATGACAGAAAACTTCCCCCACCTGGTGAAAGAAATGGACTTACAGGTCCAAGAAGCGCGGAGAACCCCAAACAAAAGGAATCCAAAGAGGACCACACCAAGACACATCATAATTAAAATGCCAAGAGCAAAAGATAAAGAGAGAATCTTAAAAACAGCAAGAGAAAGAAACTCAGTTACCTACAAGGGAATACCCATACGACTGTCAGCTGATTTCTCAACAGAAACTTTGCAGGCCAGAAGGGAGTGGCAAGAAATAGTCAAAGTGATGAATACCAAGAACCTACAACCAAGATTACTTTATCCAGCAAAGCTATCATTCAGAATTGAAGGTCAGATAAAGAGCTTCACAGATAAGGAAAAGCTAAAGGAGTTCATCACCACCAAACCAGGATTATATGAAATGCTGAAAGGTATCCTTTAAGAAGAGGAAGAGGAAGAAAAAGATAAAGATACAAATTATGAACAACAAATATGCATCTATCAACAAGTGAATCTAAGAATCAAGTGAATAAATAATCTGATGAACAGAATGAACTGTTGATTATAATAGAATCAGGGACATAGAAAGGGAATGGACTGACTATTCCTGGGGGGGAAAGGGGTGTGGGAGATGCGGGAAGAGACTGGACAAAAATCGTGCACCTATGGATGAGGACAGTGGGTGGGGAGTGAGGGCGGAGGGTGGGGCGGGAACTGGGAGGAGGGGAGTTATGGGGGGAAAAAAAAAGAGGAACAAATGTAATAATCTGAACAATAAAGATTTAATTAAAAAAAAAAAAAGAAAAATATATTATTATGAGAAATGTCTGAGATTTTACTGCCTGTTTTATTCTAGGATTTTTATGGTTTTGAGACTAACATTTAAGTTCTTAATCCATTTTTTAATTTATTCTTGTGTGTGGTATAGGATGATCTAGTTTTATTTTTTTTGCGCGTATCTGTCCAATTTTCCCAACACCATTGATTGCATAGACTATCTTTATCCCACTGTGTTTTTGCCTCCTTTGTCAAATATTACTTGACTATAAAGGCATGGGTTCTCTATTCTGTTCCATTGATCTGTATATCTGTTTTTATGCCAGTACCATGCTGTTTGGTTACTATGATCTTCTAGTATAATTTTGTTCTTTCTCCAGATTGCTTAGACTATTTGGGGTCTTTTGTGGTTCCATATAGATTTTTGGAATATTTGCTCTAGTTCTATGAAATACGCCATTGGTATCTTGATAGAAACTGCATTGAATCTTTAGATTGCTTTGGGTAGCATGGACATTTAAATGAAGTCAATTCTTCCTATCCATGAACATGGTATACTAGATGCTCAGTGCATGGATTCGTGCACTGGTGGGGGGCATGGCCTGCAGGGATCGGCCTGCTGTGGGGGCGGCGCTCATCCCGATCAGCTGAATGGCACTCCCACTGTGGGAGCACACTGACCACCAGGGGACAGATCCTGTGTTGAGCGTCTGCCCCCAGTGGTTAGTGCATGTCATAGCATCTGGTCAACTGGTCGTTCTGCCGTTTGGTCACTGGGCTTTTATATATAGAGAGGCTTCCACTTGCTTGTATTTTCTTTAATTTCTTTCTTCAGTGTCTTGTAATTTTCTGAGTTCAGGTCTTTTACATCCTTGGTTAAATTTATTCCTAGGTATTTTATTCCTTTTTGAAGCAATTGTGAATGGGACTGTTTTCCTTAGTTTCCCTTACTGATAGTTCACTATTGGTGTATAAAAATGCAACTGAGCCCTAGCTGGTTTAGCTCAATGGATAGAGTGTCAGCCTGCAGACTGAAGGGTCCCAGGTTTGATTCCGGCCAAGGGCACATGCCTGGGTTGCGGGCTCGATCCCCAGTAGGGGGCATGAAGGAGGCAGCCAATCAATGATTCTCTCTCATCATTGATGTTTCTATCTCTCTCTCCCTCTCGAAAATCAATAAAATATATTTAAAAAATAATAGTAATAAAAATAAAATTAATTAATTAAAATGCAACTGATTTCTGGATATTTATTTTGTATCCTATTTTACTGAATTCATTTATCAGTTCTAGTAGAATAAATCCAACTTGATCATTATTTTTAATGTGTTGCTGGATTTGGTTTGCTAATCTTTTCTTGGATTTTAGCATCTATGTTCATCAGGGATATAACCATTTGATTTTTTTAATAAGTATCTGCTGAGATGTTTGTGAACTCCTTATAATAATTTTTAAAAGTTAATGTAATACATCAGTAAATGTAATCCCAACTCAAGTTACTTAGGATAAAAGCAGAAAATAAAGTAAATAACACAGTGAGTTAAGATACTGAAATTCACTTACTATTGCATATAATACTGATGAGCATACATCTGCTGCCACCACAGCACCTGCAATGGGCTGAATGCGGGGTACACTGGGAATCCGGCTGGAACAGCTTGTCCAGGAAGCTGGTTGTCTACATTTCTGCCATAAAGAGATAAAGAAATGTCTTTGAATGCTCCGGAATTGAAAGCATTTCTCTAAATTTTCATTTCTGAACTACAAGTCATCCTACTGAATCAGAACCTGCATCTACACAAGATCCCCAGGTGATTAGCACAAACATTAAAAACTAAAAAATACAGCCCTAGATGATTCTGATACATGAGCAGCTTTCAACATCACTGCTCTACTTCACCTTCTAATTCTCAAAATATGCACTCAGGTAATGGAATAAACTTCAAATGCACTCTGATCACTGCAGAGGGCTACCATGGAAGTCAGGAGAAACAGATTTCGAAGAGGCCCACGGCTGCCAGGTGTTCACTCACCCTTGCATTACGTATGGGAACTGATGACTCTGTGCGGGGTCGGTCTGTGCTTGGGGAAGGGAACGCTGCCTCAGTCCTTCTGAGGAAGAACTGACAGCTAACGGCAAGGTCTCTTGACTGGATGATGGAGTTCTTGATCCTGACTGATCTGAACTCTACAAACAGAAATGTAACTATTTTTTCAGGAAGATTTAATTCATTGCAATCATGAGGTTATAGACACCGTGCTAAAAACGTATTGATGAAATCCCTCTGCAAACAGTGAATTTTAGGAATTTACTCATTTGAATCTTGTGCCCAGCATAGTAAGAAGATACTTTAATTCTGATGAGACTAAAGAGTTCAGAAAAATCAAAGCTTCTTAATTACACAACAGTTCAATTATCAACTAGAGAAGGCTAAGTAGTGAAGTAATTGTATACAAAAAGAGCATACAAAATTGTGAGGATTAAATTACATGAAAAGTTCTTTTCATGATGCCATAAAACATAGAAAGTGCTCAATAATGGTACCAATTACTGTGCCGTTTCCTATGCGCCAGGTACTGTATAATGTGCTCTTAGTAACACACTGTTTTAAAATTATGAGGAACATGCTAGAAATCAGAAGATCTAGAATCTGGTATTATCTCTGACATTAGCAAGGAACATGACCTTAAAATTTCACTTAACCTCCGAGTCTCAGCTTCCCTACAAAAAATAAGATTGAGCTACATTTTCAAGATTCCTTTCAGTTCTAAACTTCTGTTAGTTTAAAGATACCAAAAATATTGTTTTTAAAAATATGAACAAGGTATCAATCAGGATTTTAAAATTTTCATGTTTCAATGATGTCAGTAACTCACCAGACTCAACAGCTTTAAACAATATAACGCCTTGAAGACCGTCCATTTGTTAGGATTTGAAAATAATTTATCATGTCCTATGCAAATGTGAAACGCAATTATATTTTATATAAATGATAGCTCTTCCATTTAAAATACCTGGGTACAATATAATCTGAACATCCTTCCAGGTTTGCTAACGCTGTATTTTAGCTGCACTGCCTTCCTATTGACAGGATGTCTTTTTAGCGTATGTACCCGTCCTACGTCCTGCCATGTAAAAGGTCCCAAGAACACTGGTCTTTTGCAAAACTAACACAAGCTTTCTTTAAGATGTTATTCCACACAAAACAGATACCAAATAACTCACTATGGACTCTGATTCTTAGGGACATTACTCGGAAAGGCTTCTTTTTTGACAAGATTTCTCATTAAATGAAGCATAACAAGGTGGTTAATTAAAAGTTAATAGGAGAAAGGCCTAGCCATTTGGCAGCCCAGCCTTATTTCTTTAGAACTCAGGATTTCTGACCTTATTAGATAACTCTCTCATGATTAGATTTTTAAGACATTTTCAAATCCTACTGAAATTTCTTAGTCATAAAACATTAAGGGGAATTCAACTTAATTTTCCTTTGACACATTTCAGATTTTCATACTACACCTTGAAAACTGAACATATATATACTAATGACAGGAAATCATGGCTGAGGAACCACTGGACAAGTAAAGGATTCTAAAAGTAAACTAAACAAAAACTAAACCAACACAACTGTGCCAAAGACTACATAAACTTCATGCCACTGCCAATGACTGCCCTTCTGGTCCAAGGTGGGAAACAGATCCAGGCCCTTAGGTTTATTGACAAAACATATTTCAGTTTAATATAAGCTAAATTCCCACAACTGATACTACAGAATACTTACCATTGAGGACATATAATTAAATACAGCAACTAGAGGATCTAGATCTTAAAGAAGCATTTAACTAGCATCTACTGGAAGATCTTTCATCTAGTTATCATCTGCCACTCATCCCCTTCCTTAGAGTTTCGGCTCAATTCTTGACAAGAAGGAAAGTATACTTAGAGCAGAGGTCCTCAAACTTTTTAAACAGGGGCCAGTTCACTGTCCCTCAGACATTCCACACATGCGCCCTGCGGGCCCGGGACAAGTCGGCTGCTAAGCAGGACAGGCAGCGGCGGCAAAAACACCCGGCAGGCCGGATAAATGTTTTCGGCAGCCGCATGTGGCCCGCGGGCCATAGTTTGAGGATGCCTGACTTAGAGTATAATAGTCTCTGCCCAGGAAGTTTAAAGCAAGCTTCCACTCATCTAATCCTTTTCTCTCACCTTCAAAGCTTTTATGGGAAACCAAAAATAATTTAAGGTAAAAGGATTTGGGACAGTGTCTTTCGTACATGTAGAGAATGCCTAAGTTGAAAAGTTTAAGAAAAATTTCCTGAACAATTTTAGGTAAATGAAAAACCAAGGTAGGAGAAATGAATACCCAAGTCTGAAAGAGCTGAGTAGGTTAAGTAATTTTTCCTCCTGCAGTTGGAATGTATACCCAAATCTAGTCATTTTTTAAAAAGTAAAATTCTTGTCCCAGACAGTATGGCTCAGTAGATTGGGCATAATCCTTTGCACCGAAAAATTGCTGGTTCAATTCCCCATCAGGGCACATGCCCGGGTTGCAGCTTGACCCCCAGTAGGGGGTGTGCAGGAGATAATTGGTCAATGTTTTGTTCTCACATAGATGTTTCTTTCTCTTTCTCTCCCTCTCTCTCCCCACTTCCTCTTTCTCTAAAAATCAATAAAAATCTTTAAAAATGAAATAAAATTCTTGACCAAGCAATCTACTTCAAGAGGATTTAGCATATTTAAAACTGAAATAATGTAATCCACCTTGAATAAAATATACTATATTCAACACCTTATTTCTGAAATTTTACTGGCCTTGGAGTTTATATTATATAACATATGATAATTCTGTTTTCTTGGAATTTTAGTAATTAAACTCCTGACTATTACTGACCTGCATACAGGGGAACAGCCTTCAAGGAAAAACACTGTATAATGGACTTCTAAAAACAAAGTTTAAATCCCTAACTCAAAACATCATCTCACAACCCACAAGCTCCAACTGATCTGTTTTTTGTTTTTTTCAATTAATTTTTAGAGGCAAAAAAAAATATAATGAGAAATCATCATTTACTCTTCCCAAACAACTCACAGAACTGCTGCTGGATGCCAACGCTTCGCGACCTTCTCTACTGCTGCTGGGCTTTGGAGAACTGGGAGGAGTCCGGGAAGTACACACTAGATGGACCATATGATACTCATCTTGCTAAAAGTAAAGAAGGTTACATTGAAAGGGTAGTACTGGAAATGTACAGTCAAAATGTCAATAGCAACTAAGCTGAAATACTTGACTCAAAACTTAAGTTCCTTTCTGGCATAGCCATTTATTAGTAAGAAATTGTTGTCATTTGAAAGTAAATTTACCATTTTAGAATTTGGAGCCCTTCTGAATTCTACTTTTTCTCCATGCCTGGAAAATGGTCTAAACCAGGGGTGGGCAAACTTTTTGACTCAAGGGCCACAATGGGTTCTTAAACTGGACCGAGGGCCGGAACAAAAGCATGGATGGAGTGTTTGTGTGAACTAATATAAATTCAAAGTAAACATCATTACATAAAAGGGTACGGTCTCTTTCTTTTTTCAGTTTTATTCATTTCAAACGGCCGGATCCGGCCCGCTTTGCCCGCGGCTGGTCTAAACACTCAGTAATTGCTATATGAAAAAATGATTACTTTGTATACAAAGGAGTCTTGAAGCAAACATTGCTGTAAAGCTGTGTCATGCAACCTATTATTTCAATATAAAAACATCTAGCACCTTAATATCAGAACGGCAATAGTCGCTGAAGCTTAGCCCTGCAAACTTTGAGAAGCAAAAATATTTTCATTACTTAGACTTTGCAACTATAATAAAGAAACTCAAATAATTTCACCATAATCTCATTTGCCTTAATTTTAGCAAGGTGATGTATAGGTGTGTTGTTGTTTTTTTAAGTCAAAAACTGGTTTTATCTATAATACTTATATTTAAGTAAAAGCATATGTTTGAACTATATTCTATAAATATTTCATGTGTTTCCATAACCTGTTAACTATGAAGAAAAAAATTCTAGAAATGATTAGGAATGACATTTTAGCTTAGCAATTACATGAGTATATTTATACTTAGGCATGAAGCAAGCAAATGAGACAGAGAAAGGAAAGAGAATAAAGAAGGGCAGAGAAGCACACAGGACAGCTCAGCCACTCATAAAAAGAAAAGAAAAAATGAAGTATGATAAAGGAAAGGGGCAGGAAGACAAGGGAGATGCCCAGTTGTGAGAAAGAGAAACAAAGCTACTGGAAACTAAGAATTTACCCACTGCCAACCATAAATCTAGAATTGTGCTGAATTCTGAGGTGAAGCCCAGAAAGGTAAGAGTCAGCCCCTCCCCTAAAGAGGCTCATGACACTGTTAAAAGATCAGACGCGCGCATTAGAGCACAATTAGAGAACTATACGAAACAGTCTTCTGCACAGATGGAGGCGCACAAACTACCAGCTCTAGGAGTTTAAAGAAAGAAGTTAATGGGGGTGGCTAGTAGAATGCTAAGAGGAGGAACTTGCAGAGATAGTCTGACATGAGATGTGCCCAGTAAGGTAGACAGAAGGCACTCCTGATTTACAATATCCCCCGTAGCTTCAGAACACAGAGCATTAAAAAGCATCAAGTACAAGATATTTACCCTTAGAAACCAAGTTTCAAAGGTCATACTAATCAAATTAACTATAGCATTTGTTCACCTTTTGGGAATGTTCCTGTAAAACATTTTATAACTAAGTAGGTAAAGCTAATGGCAGCACTTAATTGAAAAAAAGAAGTGGTTCACTGACTTTAACAAAAACAGTTCAAAGATCTATTCATAATGTAAACATATTATTCAAAATGTTTTATATAAGAGGCCAACAGTCCTTCGACTGAAACATTTTTATTTTAAGTCTTCTGGTCAGAAACCATTTCTGGCAGCAAGAACTTTTTTAAAAAACAGTCCAGTGCAAACTAGCTATCTTTGGGTTAAAATAATAAAATAAATATCTACTTTGAAGAGGTGTGGCACTGAGGATTTTTAGGGCAGTGACACTATTCTGTACAAGACTATAATAGTGAATATATGTCATTATACATTTGTCCAAACCCACAGAATGTACACCAAGAGGGAACTCTAATGTAAACCACAGGCTTTGGGTGATAATGATGTGTCAATAATGTAGGTTCATCAACTGTAACCAATGTTCCACTCTAATATGGAATGTTGTTGTGGGGGAGCCTGTGCATGGGGGGCGGGGGGGGGGGAGTAAAAGTGAAATCTCTTTACTTTCCACTCAATTTTGCTATGAACCTAAAACTGTCTTTAAAAATAGTCAATTAAAAAGAGAGAGAGAAAACCTGCTGCAAATTCCACTATTTTCGAGAAAGAAAGAAGTTATTAAACCACCTTGGCAAACTGAAACTACATAGTTAAAATGAAAATGACAGCAAGAAGTCACACTGGCAGAAAACGTCATCTATCTGAACAGGAGGAATATGCTGGTATAAGATGTCTTAGTTTCCCTAATGATCACAAACAAAAGGAGAGGATGCAGATTTCCTAAATCGGTCCAGACAACATTAAGAGTTAAGTCAAAGATCTAAGGCAAAATATCAAAGCTATATATTCACAACCAAAATGTAGCATCACAAATGCAGAAAAGTTATAAAAGTATAAATTCCACAAATAATCATGAGTTAAAAGTTTCCGTTAAAAAACAAAACAAAACAGTATTCCAGCTGATTATCAAAAAAGCTACACTGAAATATATTTTAGCTCTAAGCACCAGCCTTCAAGGTTGCTAACTGATGGACCAATAGGGCTTCCTTCTATTTCTTGCCCTGAAATTAAACTCCTAACCCAAGCAACTTGTATTAAAATGTCATACAGTTTGGCCAAAGGGGATATAGGAGAGGAGACTGTCCTCAGTGAAAATCCTGCACCACTCCTTGAACTCTCCACTCCTGCACTACTAGTACGTTGATTGAGTTTTCCTACACAAAATGCCAATCACCTGAACACAATATGTAATCTTAGTTAGCTATCAGATAGATATACAAAACTGCTACCTAAACTAACTGGAATCTATCATTATGTTTTTTACTTTCTAGCTCATGTTTACATGTTATGCTACCCAAAGGGTTGATTTTAAGTATCTGAAAACTGAACTGGTTGGATATTGATAAAATTTCAGAACAACTCTCCGATCACACTCTGACTGTGACTGGTACCGAGTAGTGGTAGAAATCTGCTTACTTTTCTGAGAATGTCTTTCAGCTGCAGATGATCGGGAAGCAGTCTGCCCGAATACACCAATCTCTGATCCTTCGTCAACTAAGAAATGGGACAAAGAAAATAATTCAACTTTTCTAATTATACAAAATAAAGGTTGGGAATAACATGCCTAAATATGGGCAAAGTAAACTCCCTTTAGGCATAAATAAGCAGAAAACTGACATATTTTAAGAATTTTGTTTTTCCAAATTCCACTTAAGACATTAAGAGCTCAGCAAATGGTAGCATATTTATTATAGATATAATACAGATAATTACCAAATTTCCAAATGACATTAACAAACAAAATTTGCCATCAGCAAACTTACGTATATGCTTTATCCTACTATATACAATCTCAAAATAAGAATAACAATATTGGATGAAGTTTACCAGGTCTTGTGGCTTTCTTCTGTCCTTACATATAGCCCACTAGAAATACATAGTTGAAATATTGTTTCAAAATTACTTGGGATAATTCTTCTTGCAGTTATGTCACCATTCTGACATGAAGTTACTAAATTATTGTGTTGCCATTTAAGGATTACTTTTTTCTACTGAATTTTTAAAATTATATGGCAACAGAGTAAAAATTATAGAATGAGATATGTTCAGAGAGGTTTAGTTTATGTCCCTGTTCCCTCCCTACCTAATTTTTTAAAGTATGCTTTTATTGACTTCAGAGAGAGGAAGGGAAAAGGGGAGAGAGATAGAAACATCAATTTTGAGTTTCCCTTCCACCATTTCTTTTTAACAACACAACAAATCTGAATATAAACAAGTATCTCCCTTCTTTTCTCACATAAAAGCTAGTACACTCTACCTAATATTTTGTGCCTTGTCCTCCCACTTAGTATAACCTGGAGATTATGCCTCAGCACTATTACGATGTCTTCCCCATCCGTCTTGACAGTTCGCGATGCTCCATTACATAGAAATGCTACCGTTTACTAATAGGTATTTCAGTAGTTCCAGGCTTTTGTTATTACTCACAGTGTAATTCATTCATACTATTCTATTTATTTCTGTACTCCCTGCAACATGGAGATCCCTAGTGGTCTTAATAAAAGCAATCTTGGTGGACAATAGGGTAAAAACTTATTTGGGATGGATATGAGAGAAAAGGAGAGGAGTACAGTTAGAAACATCTTTTAAAAGTGTAAATCAACCCTGTCACTCGGCTGGATTCCCACCACACTGGGTGTAATTCTAATGCCTTACCATCGCCAGACAGGCCCAGCAGATCTGGTTTCTGTCTCTCTCCAACCTCCTCCGATGGTATTCTTTCCTCCTCACTCACTAGCCAAACTGGCGTTCATTGAGCTCTCCAATAAGCTAAGCTCCTTCCTGACTCAGACACCCTACCTGCATATCCTTCCCCAGCGCTTGCATGGCCATCTAAATTACCAAGCTGGAAACATTCTGATGGTGGTCCGCACAGGCAGAGAGAGAACTACACCACCCTAACACACAGCTGCTTGACCAGCTGACCCCAAAACTCTGCCACCCACTAAGCAGACACTGCTAACAAACCAAGGTGAGGAAAGCTCGCCGGCTAGTCAAAACTGCAAAGATAAATCCTAAATTGGGGAAAGACCTTTCTCTTTCTAAAAGAGTTACATATTATTATCTAAAGTGACTGACTTCTCAACATTTAATCAGACATCAAAAACAGATAAAATACTATATGCATCCCTAATGGATTTTAAATATTCACAAGAGTTTGGTAGTTGACTTTTACAAAGTCAGCAATACTTTACATTTCTAGAAGTCACCTAGTTGGTATCAAAAGTTTAAATTTTTTATGTGAAGAACTAAGTGAGTCTCATAATTATGCATGGCTTTAAGAAAGCATGTCCTTAGTATATCCAACTTCAAAATAATCAAATAGCTCAGTAAAAGCAATCTACAACTTATATGTTAGTTCAAAGAACGCTAACCAGAGTCCTCTGAGAGTAGTAACTGTTAACATTTCAGTACTACTTGCATACAGCCGTCACAAGGGTCAAATAGCTTTGAAGAGCTGGTTCCCAAGACATGCACAAAACATCATTTCTGTGGGAAATGAGTGGTGCGGATCTGTACTGGAACATATCCCCCACTCCCACTAGATTCAGCCCACCTAAAGCCCTAGGAAATTCACAAACACTATAAATGGAAGCATAGTTTACCCAAACTGTCTCTAAACCTTATCTCCTTGCAACAACTGTAAGCAACACCAGCACACAGAGCTTACAGAAGAATTTCCTCTAGAACTCCACAGGGACATTCCCTGCTTAACTGTTTCCACTCACAGGCCATGCACAAATCAGGTATAGATACAGCAGGGACTGCCAAAGTACATGCCTGCTACGGTTCACACAAACATGCAGGAATGTGAGAAGATAGGGCAAAGCAATGTGCTTTGAGGTCTTAAGAGAGTATATCCCCCATTTACCCCATCATTTATCAAAATCAGCAGAAGTAACCATACACTAAGTTGAGATGCATTAGAACAGTATTAAGGTTATGCAACCCATTCACCTGTAGCCATTAAATGACAAACCATCTAAACACATACACCTCTTTTTATAGTTCTTTTAATTTGCAAGCATACAACTGAGATGGCCAAGTCCCTAAAATTCAAATTCTACTACATAGAATTCTATTAACTTGGGCAAAAAAAAAAAAAAAAGAGCTAATAATAAAACTTAACATCATAAGGTATCTCTAAGGCATAAAAGTGATAAAACAGACAAAGTGCTCAGCAGAATATCTGGTACACACGGTAACCACTTAGTAAATGGCAGTTAATATAGTTAAATAGTAGTTAACTATTATTTAGTTATACAACTATAATAGTTAAATAAAAGCATTTGAGGCCATCAAATGAGTATGTACTGCCCTGGCCGGTGTAGCTTAGTTGGTTGGGCGTTGTCCCCTGCCCCAAAACGCTGCAGTTCGATTGCAGGCAGGGCACGTGCCCAGCTTTTGGGCTTGATCCCCAGTAGGGGCTCGCAGGAGGCAGCAATCACTGTTCCGCTCTCACACTGACGTTTCTCTCTTCCCCCTCCCTTCCTCTCTAAAAATCGATTAAAAAAAAATCTTTTTAAAAAAAATAAAACCTTTTAAAAATTAGTATGCATTTATTATGTAAAGGAGAGAAACATAAACTGAAGTTCTGGAAAAATCCTATTTTAAAAAGCACTGATTCATGATTAAACGAACTTGTACTGTTATTTTCCCATAAAGACATTAGGAAAAGGCTACAAAGGAATTACATAAAACAAATTTTAACCCACATTCATTCAAAACTTTTAACTTTTCATCAGCCTTCACACTCAATTTAATAAAGTTTTTAAAATGTGAACTATACTATGTGACATGAAACCCTCTTAAACCTATGTACTAAAATTTTATGATAATTGTCTTATAATTTTTTTAAAAGTGTGCATGGATTACAGCCCCTCTGAATCAGTTCAGAGGTGGTTAAGCAGATAAGATTCTTAAATGACCTGCCTAAATAAGATAATGGGGAATTACAAAATTAAGAGACATAACCTCAAATTATATTACACAAGCTATTTTCACTGATAATTAAAGTCAGATGTTCATCTCAATTGTAGGCAATTTGGTTCTGAAATAGAACTTACACAGCTGGTTCTATTCCTGTTTTCTTTATTTCTAACAGAATCTCAAAGTGAAGGAACAATTTGAAAAACAGCACAAACCTCCCTAGCTAAGCAGGAGAGCTGGAAGGCCTACGTAAGAAATTGACTGCTTTAACAGTCTGAAGCACCAAGACACAGGAAATCTACCCTGTACTGAGGGGCATGTTCGGCAGGCATTCGGCCTCAACACTGAAAAGTGGAAAGCCAGGCATACAAGCTCCAGGAAGGTTTGCATTCAAAACTGAATTCACTGTGAGGTCCATCTTAGTAATTATGTACGTATGAGAAGAGTAAAAGAATGAGAGAGATAACGAGAAAGGTGCCTAATGGATTTAGAGATTCTTATTTTTCAAGTTTTCTCCAGGACAGTGCATTCTACTGGATAATATGGAGTTCAACCATTTTGATATTTACATCTATAAGCTACAAAAAAGTCTGAAACTACTCAAGTAAAAGGGGCCTTCTTCACAGGCAGCTTCACCCCTTAGTAGCAATTACCAAAATTTCAGGATCTCAAAAATCTAAAGTCCTGAAGCGATGACAAATGTCTTATTAGAATAATATCTACATACACTATCAACATGAATTGGTACACTTCCCAGTTCTAAACCAATAATCAACACCATTCAAAGTTAAGCAAAACTCCAAAAAGCTCAATTCTATATCTGAGGTTGTTAATAATGACTTTGTAACGTTTGCATAAATATGGCAACTGCCTTACTTCCTACCAGGAAAACACCTTCCCCTGTGTAGCCCATTATGGATCCATAATCTTTTTTACATAGTACCATCACACTAAGTAATCCTATATAATAAAAGGGTAATATGCAAATCAATCGAACAGCAGAATGACAGGTCCCTATGACACGCACTGACCACCAGGGGGCAGACGCTTAATGCAGGAACTGCCCCGCCCCCTGGTGGTCAGTGCGCTCCCACAGGGGGAGCGTTGCTCAGTCACAAGACGACGGGCTGACAGCTGGCAAGCACAGCGGTGGTGGTGGGAGCCTCTCCTGCCTCTGGGGCAGCTAAGGATGTCCGACTGTGGCTTAGGATGTCAGTGGGACCTCCCCCGAGGGCTCCCGGACTGCTAAAGGGTGCAGGCCAGGCTGAGGGGGACCCACGGAAGTGCACGAATGTTGTATACTGGGCCTCCAGTAAAGTATATAAAGTACTTAGAATCAGTGCAACATGAGCTCTGAGAGAACAGGCTTTTAAAAAGCTTTCATCTTGCCCTAACCGGTTTGGCTCAGTGGATAGAGAGTCAGCCTGCGGACTCAAGGGTCCCAGGTTCGATTCCTGTCAAGGGCATGTACCTTGGTTGCGGGCACATCCCCAGTAGGGGGCGTGCAGGAGGCAGCTGATCAATCTCTCTCATCAATGTTTCTAACTCTCTATCCCTCTCCCTTCTTCTCTGTAAAAAATCAATAAAATATATTTAAAAAAAAAGATAAAATATCCATGTGGAGATTATCTATGATTAAGTCAAGCCAATATCTGTTAAAACTAGAATTTTAAGATTTTACACACTGTTGCTGAATGCCATTAATAGTGTGTAGACACATGACCTATCTCTGTAGAGATCCTAAGAGGCACAACTTCAAGTATCCATTCTTCTCCCTCCATCAGCTTCCATTTATTTTCCTATAGGCCACTGCCCACAGGGACCAAGGCCTTCCACCTACCGGTGAACCATCACACCCAGCAAAGAGCAGCGTTGACCAGAGCCGTCAACTCTTCTACCTCTTACTGGGGGACAAGTGCTTCTCCAAGGCACTGGAACCCCACTCTGCTGCCAAGCCCCCACCCCAGCAGGCAGATGTGCACAGAACCAGGCATAAAAATGACCTCTGTTAAACACCAAAGCGAACTTGAGACACTTACCCGCAGAATCAATGTTAAGTAATCACTGTGGGTGGTCCCAAGAACCTAAACTTCCTGTGTAATGTATTAAGTTGTCATGTAACATTGTTTATGTTGCAAAATGTTCTCTGTTCTAAATAACAGCCTGACAAAGAAAACTTTTGGAACTCCACTTCCCTAGACTGAGGACTACCTATGGCGTTGGGGTATTATTTAACAGTTGTTCTGCTTAACAACGGTGAAACTTCAAATTCTCATGTGATAACTAAGTTAGACTGTAAGCCTGTCAAGTCCAATCACCATACAAAGTTTTCAGTGAAGTTCTATGAAAATAAACACATATGACTCCCCCAAGGCCCACCCACTCTCATTAACCCAGAAATAACCTTCAGATAATGCAATTCAGTTGGAGAAGACTTGCTGGAGGAGGAAAAATGTCAGGTTTGCCACAAAACTAGGCAGTCAGGCAATTACTAGGTTGCATATCATGCTACAGCCTGCGAGAGTCTCCAGGCAGATAAGGAGGGCGGGTGTGAAGAAGTTTGTAACTGCTGTCTCCAGCAGCTGACGCACCCAGGTGAGCGCTGGCAGCCTGCACAGGTGAGTGCTGGGAGGGCGCAGGTAAGGCAGACCGGCTTCACATTCCTCACTTAGAGTCTTCACAAAAGAGAAAGTTTTAGAAAAGCAAGAACTCTTGGTCTATCAGAGTGCAAACCGAGTTCCTTTTGACTTGGTTTAATCATATAATATAAAGAACCTCACCTAAGTACATACTTGAGAGTATGTACTGGGACGTGTATTATTTAGGAACGGTACTCAGGCTATGTTATGAACAGTGCTATGGAAATCTATGACTTTAAATTCTGACTGTTCTGAAAAGCTATTTTCTACTTCGAAATTGTGCAAAAACGAATCACATGCAATAGGAAATCTTTCGTAAAGCATAAGTTTTTAAAACAAATTGTTACCCCTTATGTAAAATTTAACTTTAAAACAAAAGATCTGAATAAATGAGAGTTCCAGCTAGTTTGTTCCAAGTCCTTAAATACCTCTGGGTTTTTATTTCCTGTACTAAAAATATTTGTATCACAAGGTGCTGACAAACACAGCTAATGCCAAGTGAGAAATGTTTTTCTAAACCTCCTATTCTTGCAATAACCGCAGGATTTCTGTAATTATTTCAGAAATCTAAAACTACACTTGATACAGTAACGCCAAAACAGTCCTAATTCATCAACATCTGGATGTGGATCACATGCCTTCTTTACTTATCAAGACCTAACTACCAACTATGTCCTTTCAAAGCTACCTTTGGGGACAGATGGAGCTGTACTCTGCATTTTATTTATTATCTTTGCAATATCCAGATATGATTCAGAATGGAAAACACTGCCACACTGATTTACAAGTGGCCATATGAAGGGAATAAAAAAATGCACCAAATGGTGGAGGGGGTGGAAGGATTGTTCTCTTCCCAATCAGTGAAATGTCTGTGTCCTGGTCCAGCAGAAAAATGAGGGAGGTAGGGAGGGGCAGAGGAATGTGAGTCTAAAACTCATACTTCTTTGCTTCTTCGAAGATATATACTAGTCTTGAACATGTAACTTTCACAGGGGTACATACTTATTTCCAAGAAAAGAAACATTTGCCCTTCAACATTGATGAGCAACTTCCTGGGCCAGTGTTGAAAGTAAAGAGGAATTTTAGTCTAATAAGCAATAGGAGCTTTAACATGAATCGTAGTGCTTTTTTTTTTTTTTTTAAAGAATGCATCTGTCATCCCATATTAGGTTGATGACTTTTAGTCCAAGGAAAATGGTCTTTTGTTATGCCTGCCTGCAATTCCTATGGCCCTTGATATTTCTGTACTCTTACTAATTACCTGAACCTCATCAGGAAGATACTGAAGGTGGTTCGGACACTCAAGAGACGCACACAACCTCGGAACGCACAAGCCCTCCCAGTCTACCAGCCTGATGGCGGGGGAGGGGGGAGCCCAGGGCAGGCGGCTGCGCCGGGCGGCGGGCCCAGCTGTCAGACACTTACTGGTTTGCTAGGGTACACGTTAGAGAGGTGCGTTTTTAGTTTCCCCACGGTCCAGTTCAAGAAGCAGCTAATGGTCTGGTCACTGTATTTCTGATTCGGTGCCTTAATGACGAGGGTCACAGGAACCTCCATCCCGCTCTGGTCCATGGTGCCCCCAAGGCGGCAGAGTGCAGAGGGGCAGCAGGTAAGAGCCCGAAGGAGCCGGTGCGGCCGGGATGGGGACGAAGCTAGTGGGTCTTAATATTCCGGGTCCAAGTCAGTCACAAGTGCACCGGGCGATGCAAAGGCCATTGCCGGGACCAAGGATGGCGGGCGGTGGCGGCGGCGGGGTCGAGGGGCCCGGCCGCGGGTGCGGCGTTCCCCGCCAGGTCCGGGCTCCGCTAGGCTCCGCCGGACTCCGGACTGCGGAGGGGGCCGGGGGGAGAGAGAGAGAGAGCTGTGAGGAGGGAGGAAGGGAGGGGTGGGGGCGCTCCGGCCCGAGCCGCCGCCCCGTCCCCGCCGCGACCCCAGAGCTGAAACGCAACAAGGCCCCTACGCCACGGCCCCGCTTCGCGGGCAGGAGAAAGGCCGGGCTCTGGGCGGCCGCCGGGCAGATACCTGAGACGGTCGCGGGGCCCGCCACCGCCGCCCTCCGCGCCCAGGCAGGGCAGCCGGCCGCACAGTCGGGCCGGGCGTCCTCCGCCGCGACCGCTCCCTTCCTGCTGCTCTGCGCGGCCGCGGCCAGCGGGTCTCGCGAGGCGGCGCGGGCGCGGCGGGAGGAGTTGGCCGAAGGGCGCGGCCGGGGTCCGCGGCCCCGCGGGGCAGGGCGGGGGCGGGGAGCCGGCGGGGTGGCCGGCGAGGGCCAGGAGCGGCCGGGCGGCGGCAGGTGGCAGGTGGCAGGAGGGCGGGGACTGGAGCCGAGGCGCCGCCGCCCGCGCACCCGTTTTGTTGTTGTTGGGAGCCAGGTCCGGGCCCTTTAAGCCGGAAGCCGCAGGCCGGAAGTGCGTCACGCGCGGCCCTACCGACGCCCCGCCCTCCGGACCCGCCGACCACCCGCGCCGGGTTCCCCCAGGCCAGCCCGGACGCAGTTCCCGGCCGCCTCTGCGCCGCGGGCGCCCGCGGGGCCTCACGCAGGCCTCACCGATAGCTTAGCGGGCGTTACATGTCCTGCTTGGACCAGACCCCGAAGATTTGGGGCGGGTTCCTCCATCCTAAGAGTTGTCTCTGGTAAAGTCTGATGTTAAATCCGACTTCTCAAAATGGCTAGTGTCGACTGTCTGCAAAGCAGGGTTTCCGCAGCTTTGGCGGAGGGACCGTGGGGCACATTGCATAAGGCGCAGAGGCTTTCCGATCACCCTGAGGTCTACCTCCTAGTGTGACTGGTTAACCTTCCTGAGCCTCAGTTTACTCCTGACTGGAGCCCGTGATGCCTACCTGACTGCGTGCTGATGAGTCCGTGAGCGATGTATGGAAACCGTCTGGTACAGGCCTAGCGAGTGGCAGTCTCCCAAACACACGTTCATGTCCATTTCCTTCCTCTTGGTCCTTCGCAAAAATTGACAAGTGTGTCCTGAGCACCTACTGTGTGTTCAGCACCGTGTTATTTTTCTGTTTTCTGACTTAAACGTGGGAACGCAAAGCTTAAGTGCAGTGCCCCAAGCTGACTCACTCCCTCTCCGTCTTCTGCACGAGTTTGGGGGCCGGTGCAGTAAGTTAAAGTTGGTATCCCATTTTTGTTAAATTATGTATATATGTAGAACCATGTATGAAAGTGGTCCCCAGAATACTGACAGTGTTTAACTTGGAACCTCCAGTAGAAAAAGTAGATAGCAGCCCCACCCCTCCCTTCCTCCCTCCTCACAGCGCTCTCTCTCTCTCTCTCTCTCTCTCTCTCTCTCTCTCTCTCTCTCTCTCTCTCTCTCTCCCCCTCTGGCCCCCTCCGCAGTCCGAGTCCGGCGGAGCCTAGCGGAGCCCGGACCTGGCTGGGAACGCCGCACCCGCGGCCGGGCCCCCAGACCCCGCCGCCGCCACCGCCCGCCATCCTTGGGCCTGGCAATGGCCTTCGCATCGCCCGGTGCACTTGTGGAGTCCGCTTCAGAGGATGCAAGCAGATGATGTAGGGGACTCTGGGGAGCTGGTCTCCTTTTCCTGTTTCAGGAGGGGTAGTGACGGTTCGCTACCACTGTGTTCGTGACCAAGGGCAAGTTCTCCCGCTCAGCCGCGCACGCAGCAGGACGGGTCCCTCACGCCTCTGCTCCTTTACCTGGCCCTTTGCGGTAGGACACCTACCCCATCACCCATTCCCTTCAGTGCTCTGCTGAAATGAGAGGAAGTCCTCTTTCTTGTCATGGGACAAGGACAGCTTGCTCCGGTTTTCTGCAGAAGTCCCTGGTCTTTTTCTGACTAGTACCTAATGGAACCTTTTTTTCTAGCTGAAAAATACTTTTTTAGACTCCCATATATCTAAGGGCAGCCATTTAACACAACTTGGCCAATAAGATGAAAGTTGAAGCTGCTGCTGGGGCTTCTGGGGAGGATGGACATGTGCAGATCGGGCTCATCCTTGCCCTACACCTGTCTCTCTTCCTGGAGGAGTGGAGGTGCAGCAACCACAGTTTAGTCACAAAGCAACAAACAGAGCAGAACAATTAAAAGACGCTGGATCCTTTATGGCACCATCGTGCCCCCATATAAGCCCTAAACTGTCATCTCTATGGCTTCTTTATTTTTTTGTCTAATTCCTATTTAAGTCAGGAAGTCTCCACAACCACCCAAACCTGCAGATCTTGTCACTTATGCTTGTGACTCAGACTTCAGGAAGCCTTTAGAGCAGCGGTTCTCAACCGGTGGGTCGCGACCCCTTTTGGGGGTCGCCTAAGACCATCGGAAAACACATATATCATCACATATTGTTTTTGTGATTAATCACTATTCTTTAATTATGTTCAATTTGTAACAATGAAAATACATCCTGCATATCAGATATTTACAACACGATTCATAACAGTAGCAAAATTACAGTTATGAAGTAGCAACGAAAATAATTTTATGGCTGGGGGTCACCACAACATGAGGAACTGTATTAAAGGGTCGCGGCATTAGAAAGGTTGAGAACCACTGCTTTAGAGTAATGGGGTCCTCTCACTTGGCACTGTGAAATGTACATTATTAATGAGATATACATTAATAAAAATATTAAAAGAGAATGTACACCTTACTATGATAAGCACTATTCTTTTTGGCTGTTAATTCTCACCAGAGGGTATTTTCCCATTGTTTTTAGATAGAGAGAAACATCCATGTGAAGAGACACATCAATTGATTGCCTCCCGCATACAGGTACGTGTACTTGACTGGGAATTGAACCCAAGACCCTTCGGTGCACGGGCCAATGCTCTAGCCAGGGCTGATGAGCACTATTTAAAGCAGAGCCCATCAAAGGTTCACTAGCATGGACAAAAATACTTTAAAGTGTAATGAACATTCGAGAGATTAAAATACATGTATATAAAAATGATATATATAGGGTCTGAAAAGTGATTTTTTACTTTATAGCCACCTGAATTAAGTACCTAAAAATGCTTTTGATGCTGTTGAACTTGGTCACAATAAAAACTGTACGTAAATATCCCATTTTTGTTAAATTATGTATATATGTAGAACCATGTATGAAAGTGGTCCCCAGAATACGGATAGTGTTTAACTTGGAACCTCCAGTAGAAAAAGTAGATAGCATTGAGGGGATGCAATTCAGCAGTCACTCAGAGGCTGGTGTGGGCCTTGGGTGCCTAGTTCAGTCATTGTGTGCGTCACAGATAAGAAAAGGAAGTGCAGCCGGACCGGCGTGGCTCAGTGGTTGAGCATCGACCCTTGAAACAAGAAGTCACCATTCGATTCCCTGTCAGGGCACATGTCCAGGTTGAGGGCTCCATCCCCAGTATGGGTCATGCAGGAGGCAGCCAATCAATGATTCTCTCTCATCATTGATGTTTCTATCTCTCTCCCTCTCCCTTCCTCTCTGAAATCAATAAAAAAAAATGTATAAAGACAAAGAAAAGGAAATGTGAAAGAAGGATTGCATAGCTCAGCTTCCATTTGTTACTTAAGGACAGCCTGTAGTGAGAGTGCTTAAGAATAGGATGCTAATAGATAACAAAGAATTTGTGATCGTTAAGACTAAATCTACTTTTAAGACTATTAACTAATTCAGTACACGTCATCTTAGTGGCTAGTTCAAGAATTTGGGTTGATATGCCATTACAGTAGCTTTCTTTGTTAACAAATAAAAACAGCCGAAACTGGTTTGGCTCAGTGAATAGAGTGTCGGCCTGTGGACTGAAAGGTCCCAGGTTCGATTCCGGTCAAGGGCATGTACCTGGGTTGTGGGCACACCCCCAGTGGGAGATGTGCAGGAGGCAGCTAGCTGATCGATGTTTCTCTCTCACTGATGTTTCTAACTCTCTATCTCTCTCCTTTCCTCTCTGTAAAAAATCAATAAAATATTTTTTAAAAAACCCAAAGATTTAAAAAATCATTTGTAAATAATAAAAACTGACTTATTTGTGAGGTGTTTATTTACTTCCAATTATTGTAATCTTTGGGGTGGGAAGGGCAGCTAGAAAAGCCTATACTGACTCAGTCTGCTATATTCCAATTTCTTTTACTATTTTAAAGAAAATAAAGGCCTTGTTACTGGGGTTTGTTTGTTTGTTTTTTGCTGAAATTTGGAATACCTTTCAGGAAGGCAAAATACTTTATTGATATTGAATAATCTAGTTTGTGGTATTTTGGCTTTTGTTTTTGGTGTGATTTTTTTTTTTTAAATAAACTCTTGGGAGGAAAGACTTTAGTCAAGTGATGATCTTGCAGTTGCAAATTTCAAAGATGATGTTGGCCATCTGGCTTCTGATTCCTTCTATTTCTACACACAACAAACTTGTCTTTTCCCTTTAAAAAAAAAAAAGATGCTGTGCCACAAAGCATCTAATCAAATATTAATCAAGTTTATTATTTGAAAAACAAATGAAATCCTACAGCTACAGCCTAGGCGAATTAGCTCATTTCAACATTGCACTCTCAAAATCTTAATGGGTCCCAGGTGTTTGATTATGAACCATACCATTGAAAATGGAAGAAAGAAATCCACATATGCATCAAAAGGCACGTGAGTGATTTGATGAAACTTCAGAACAACCCTCAAAGGTAGTAAGGACAGTGAAGCTTGGAAATGCTAACTGTCTTGCCCACAGTCACACAGCTAGTAGCTTTCCAATAGAGTCCCGATTCCTCTGTGACGCACACACTTCCCACTACCCTGCCTTCTTATTTAGAGATGCTCGTGCGTAAGAAGACACGTTTAGGAGGGAGAGGCTTTCAGGCACAACAACTTCAGGTCCCCTAGCTCAGTTTCCCAAGTACTGCCGGGATCGCTCTTACCACATCTGAAGGGCCATCGGCCAATCTCGGATTAAACCCATCCAAGGAGAGGAGATGCCCTCATTTTCACAGCAGCATGGCCCTTTGCTCAACAGCTATGGTTCTAAGTGAAGTAGAAACTGCATTCGTATGATTTCTCATGAAGCCACTTTTCTCCTCTTGACCAACCCAAAATATAACTCTTATTCCACATGCCAGCCCTTCAAATGTATACCTGTTAAATGCCTCTCTCTCTCTCTCTCTCTCTCTCTCTCTCTCTCTCTCTCTCTCTCTCTCTCTCTTCTCCAAATTAAAGAGCTCCAGATCCTTCAACCATCCTCCAGCACAGTTCCCAGCCCCTTCAGAATACTCACTCACCTGGGCGCACACTATTTTGTATACCTTCATCATTATGGCAGCCCTAATGAGCATTTAGACACACTGTGATTTTAGAACAATCTTTATAAGGACACATCTGTTATTTCTATAAATCTCTGCATCAATAGAAATCTTCATAAGCTGGTTTAGCAATTGGATTTCCTGCTTTTCAGAAACTACATGTCCAGTCAGTACTTAGGCAGGGATGGGGAATGTCTGGCCCTCGGACTGCATAAGGCCTGTAAAATCATTTGGTCTGGCCCTGCCAAGGCATTAGGGTGAGTTAATGAAATGTTTGACCAAATTTGGCAGGCTAATTTTTAAGTTGATAGATTTGTACGGCCCGCGAATTATGTTGTCAATATCCAAATGGCCCTTGGCAGGAAAAGCGTTCCCCACCCCTGACTTAGAGTGACCATTTGGCTAACACAGAAGTCTGTGATTTCTCTGATGATTCTACCGAGTGACTTATTTATGATAATGCTTGAAAAAAACGTAGCTAAATAGCTATACTGACTTCTCCTTCAGGTGACCAGAGAGACCTGGGGGCGGGGGGAAGGCCCAATCCTTTATATTTTTCACCCTTTAGAGAATTTTGACCTAAATGTATACATTAGTTGTCTATTGCTGCAAAACAAATTACCCCAAAACTGTGGGTCACAACATTGGGAGCAGCTTAGCTGATGGTTCTGGTCCGATGTCTCATGACACTGCAGTCAAGATTGCAGATGGCATTCAGTTATCTGCAGGCCCAGTGGGACTGGAGGATCTACTTCCAAGGTGGCTCTCCATTAGGCTGGCAAGGCAGCTGGTTCTTGGTGCGAAGTCTCAGCACCTCTCCCTGTGGATCTCTCCACAGCACTGCTTGAGTTTCTCACAACATGGTGGCTGGATTCCCCCAGAAAGAGATCCAATGGACCGAAGCAAAAGCAGAAACGGCATTCCTGACTTAGTCTCGGAAATCATCCGGTCACCTGCACGGTGCTCTTGGTCACAAACACCAGCTACGCGTCGGTGTGGGAGGAGAGAACACATGAGCTTGAACACCAGGAGGTAAGGACCATCGTGTCGTGTTGGAGGCCAGCTGCCGTAACGTACCTTCCCAAAGCACAGCAGGTCAGGATAGATACCCCGTTCCGTCTACAGGCCACTACCCAAGTCCAAATCCCACTGGTGGTCTTGGAATTGTTTCACAATGCTTGCCTTTCCTCTGGTATTCAGCCTCTCTCTTCCAGATAAATTTCACCAAGTTCCTCCCCCCAAAATAGAACTATCGAGCACTATTGGCTATGTTTCTCAAATGTTTATCTTTGTGCTGAAAGCAAACATAGTTGAGTTTGGGATATTAAATTTGTTACTCTAGGTGCAAATAAATAAGTCACTGATTTGAACATGGGCAACAGCCATTGGCCTAACCAGGGGTTCTTAATCTGGGTTCAGACAGTTACTCTGGACTGCCTATGAGACTGTACGTATGCACACGTGTGCAGTTATCCAGAGGGAGAGTCCATGGCTTTTATCAGCTCCTCAAGGGACCATTCGTAACAACTGCCAAAGCCCCAATAAAATCCAGTCTTCCCTGTAAGGTTTTCCCAGTTAAAGGACATAGATTTATTGAGCTGATTATTACATTATTGCCTAAAGGAGTCCCCAAATAGTTCACTGCCTGCTTTGTGATAATAGGGATAAATTCTTTAAATAGTTCTCCTTTTCAAGTTGTGCTGAAATAAGCTCTGACAGTGGAAGGAAGAGGAGGGACCCCGAGGAGGGAGAGATCCCCGGCCTGAGCATGCAGTGTCCTCTTAGGCCAGTGGTTCTCAACCTTCTGGCCCTTTAAATACAGTTCCTCATGTTGTGACCCAACCACAAAATTATTTTCGTTGCTACTTCATAACTGTAATGTTGCTACTTGTTATGAATTGTAATGTAAATATCTGATATGCAGGATGGTCTTAGGCGACCCCTGTGAAAGGGTCGTTCGACCGCCAAAGGGTTCGCGACCCACAGGTTGAGAACCGCTGTCTTAGGCAGCTCTCCCAGCCATGGCTGCTGCTGTGGCCCCTTCCGGCCATGCCCAGTGGCCAGCAGTACGCAGCCCCTTCCATGAACAGCTTCTCCCACAACCCCTCCAGTGGCACCCCAGTGAGGACCATCAGTACAACTCCCTCCATGAACAGCTTTCCTTCACCACTGTAGCAGCTCTGCACCCTCAGGGAACTTCCCTGATGTGAGATGAGTCACAGTCACCAGACCTCTTCAAGGATGGTCTGTCTCAGCCCTCAGGCAATAGCTGGTCCCTCTATCTGATTTTCTTACATTCCTCAGCATTCTCTTTGCTCCTTACCTGCCATCTCCCTACCTTTCCAATTCCCTGTTATGGGTAGGAATCTTGTATTTAACCTTCCATATTCAGCATATTGTTTCTGTCTCCTAACTGGCCCCTGACTGACACAGAATTGCATCAGTAGTGATCCTAGGAGACAGACACACAGGCACTTGGAGGATTGCTGTGGCCGTGCCCTTTGGCCGCGCTCCTCCCCAGTGGGAAATGAGGTAGTTCATCCAACTCTCATCTGTGGTTAACAGCAATGATGAGCCAGCTGAAGCCAGGGATTGCCCAAGCGGTGGCCGCACTGGACCATCATGGCAGTTAAGGTGTCTATAAGGACAGGGGTAGGAGATCGATTCTTCTGAGAGCACCTTAGTCCTCATAGGAAGAAAGTGACGAGCTCGTGTCTTTCAACTCTCAGCTCAAGTCACAGTCAGAGACCAGAATGCTTCCCTGACAGTCCCTGACAGCTATAAGGAACCATTTAGTTCTCTCGGGCACAGCAGTAATATCGTTGAAAATCAAGCACAACATTTTAACTTAAGGGTTGCTGAATTACAGCAATAATTGAATGCACAGACCCATCACATTTTCGTGACAGGGTATTACACAGGGAAGACTGGGATCCTGATCACTGGAGTGGGGACATCTGCTTGGACCCAGATGACACTGACAATCTGGAAACTACGTCACTCTCAGCCTCTTCTGTCAGTGGATGTAGCCAGCCCTTTGTTGGAAAACTCTGTGATAACCTCACTTGGGGGCAGTTTCTTAAAAGAGGATCTTTATTCTCCTCCAGACCCACCAGCCCTATAACCTGACTTAAATTTCAGCATGCTCAGGGGCAAGTGCACACTGTGTGTGACCCAGGAAGAAATAGCTTACACAGAAAATAATGGTAAACTCTGCTAATATGTCTCAGCAGAAATCAGGGACCTGCGTGGCAATGTACTCTGAATGTGAGATCGAGGAGGGTGACATATGACACTAGATTGGGGCAATTAACTGATACGAATACACTTACTAGAGATTCCAGATTTAATGTGTTAGTTCATGAAGCTAAAGGTAACTTAGAATTGATTGACTGACTGACTGATTGATTGATTGGTTGACTAAGTCTGGGACCCATGGCCTACATGTAATTTAACTGCGATACCAGAGTTTTCCTGACACAATGTAGATCAAGGAATCCCGGGGCCAGGCAGATAGGCATGTTAAACCGAACCATGTGTGTTACCTGCACATCCACTCTACCCCGCCAACATTCCATGAGAAGACCCAGAAAATATGTTAGTGAGGGGAGTACCCCATCCTTATGGAGCTCTGGGGTTGCTCTCAGTGGCAGGCCTGGTATGGCCAAAGGGGATGCTGCCATTGGGATGAACTCCCCAGTTGAAGTGCCAGTTGGGAGACATAGCCGGAAAGGGTGGGGTCTGTTTTATAGGATGCCCTGTGTGCTTTCAGTCAGAGACCATTACGTGCAGAGAGGCATGTGGGTCGTTAGCTCAACTGCAAAAACACTCTGTCCACCACTGGCGTTAAGAATGGCTGTGCTGTTCACTATTGCGGAGGACACAAAGAGTAGTAAGATGTAGCTGCCTCCAAGGAGTTTGCAATTTAGTTGGAAAAAAATAAGCATGTAAGTGACTGTAAGAGACAAGGGAGTAAGGGAGGTGCCCCAGGCGTTTCTGCGACCCAGCTCATCTCAGCCAAAAGCAGAGGAGGAAAGTGAGGGGAAGTGTGTCATCTGCCATGTCAAAGTGGGCTGGGCGATGTGCAAAAGGCAAATAGTAATTTACATGATTCTTGCTTTCCTTGGCCTTTTCCAACCTTTCCTTACACTTCCCCCAGAGTTTCTGTTCATCAAAACCCCACCCCTGCCCTTCCCCGGCCCAGCTGGGATGCTCAGTTCAGCCTCCAGCTGCGCCGAGGAGATAAGACAGGCCCCACACTACCAGGCTGGCATGTGTGCCTTCTCGAGGCCTGCCTTTCACTGCGCCATTCTTTTTTTTTTTTAATTGATTTCAGAGAGGAAGGGAGAGAAATGGAGAGATAGAAACATCAATGATGAGAAAGAATCATTGATGGGCTGCCTCCTGCATGCCCCCTACTGGGGATCAAGCCTGCAACCCGGGCATGTGACCCTTCCGTCCTCAGGCCGACGCTCTATCCACTGAGCCAAACCAGCTAGGGCTCCCTGCGCCATTCTTAAAGAGCCTCACCCTCACCCACTTTCCACCATCCTGCCAGGTTCACCTCCAGTAACTACAATTTTGTTGTTGTTGTTAACCTTCCCCGAGGATATTTTTTCCCCATTGATTTTTAGAGAGAGTGGGAGGGAGGGAGGAGGGGATAGAGAGAGAGAGAAACATCGATGTGAGAGAGATACAATTGATTGGTTACCCCCCGCACGCGCCCCAACAGGGGCTGGGGATTAAACCTGCACCCCAGGTACATGCCTTTGACTTGGAATTGAACCCGAATCCTTTGGATGCAAGGGCAACGCTCTAACCATTGTGCACACCGGCCAGGGCAACCATTTCTTTATGTTAGTAGTGCCTTCTTTATTAATTGTGTTAAGATTCCGAGGCCAGATCTTGGATCATGAGAATAATGGATTGGTTTGATTGACAAGGAAGAGGGAAGAGGAATGACAGCTAAGTCAAGTACTTTAAATACTGTACACTAGAAACCCATTTCACTCACTCATTTATTCATTCATTCATTCAAAGCATTTTGCACTCCAAAGATTTTATGCTTTTAATGTTTTATTGAAAAATATTGCTAAGATCTGGAAACAGCCTAAGTGCCCATCAGTAGAGGAATGGATTAGAAAACTGTGGAACATCTACACGATGGAATACTATGCTGCTCTAAAAAGGAAGGAACTCTTACCATTTGCAACGTCATGGATGGAACTGGAGAGCATTATGCTAAGTGAAATAAGCCAGTCAATGAAGGAAAAATACCACATGATCTCACTCATTCATGGATAATAGAGACCATTATAAACTTTTGAACAATAATAGATACAGAGGCAGAGCTGCCTCAAACAGATTGTCAAACTGCAGCGGGAAGGCCAGGGAGGGTTGGGGGGCAGGAGGTAGGGGGGTAAGAGATCAACCGAAGGACTTGTATGCATGCATATAAGCATAACCAATGGACATAAGACACTGGGGGTTAGGGGAGGCTAGGGGACTGTCTAGGGCGGGGGGAAAGAATGGACACATATGTAATACCCTTTGTAATACTTTAAGCAATAAAAAAAGAAAGAAAAATATTTCCAAACTTTATGCCTAACAATTTTTAAATAGTTGCATAATTGGTCAAGAGAAAAGGCCAAAGTTCTTAAGAAAAATCTTGGCTGACTTCACATTTCTTTCCCCTTCTTAATTTCTTTCTTTGTGTATTACTCCTCATGACTCCCTAGGGTTTGAAACTAGGTTGAGTCTTTGAAATAGCAAGCTGGCTTTGACCAAGAAAACTTGTTAAATTCCAGGCTTTAGGGAGTCATGGGACAGCTTCTTGAGTATAGTCTCTGTAATACTCATTGGTAAAGAATGCAGGATTTTATCTCCCCGAAGGGGTTTATGTTTCACAACTTTGACGTTGCCCAGTGCAAAATGCTCAGTTCTGTTGCAAGAAGCTGCACCTAAGATCACTCCAGAAGGAAAGCAACACAACTTAACATTAGCAGGGTGCCTATTACCAATGTGGGGGGTGC